GGGTTTTTGGTAAAATCGATGTTGGTACTATCTGTAGTATTACACATTTTATAGGTTATGTAACATTTATTTCTTATCACGCGTTATCATTTTTTGGAAGAACTACCCCCAACTCGGTTAATCTACATGATTTGGCCAAAAATATGAACAACTAGTTGTGTAAATTGCTATATGGATTTTAAAAGTGGGTAGTTTTATATTTTTATCACTCATATTATAAACTTAAACATTAAAAACTGAAATTGAATGGCTTATTAGTTCAATGGGGCCCAATTTCAAATTTTGGTTTTTTTAGGAGACTTAACTTTTGACTTTAAGAAACAGTTTAACAAAGTTATTTATGATATATATTCTGTGAACATCTTACGACTATACGCAATATATATTTGTGGTTTTCTAAGAATTAAATCTGTCTCGAATAAATTTATAAATTCAATTTTTAATCAGTTGAGGCCCCTGGATACCGACTAATTTTAAGGAGTTTTGTATAGGCAATATTTAAGAAAAAGGGTTTTTAAAAAATGTCAACCATGTCAATTAATTTACCGGTTAATTTGTAGAAGCTTCATGGTATTATTTTTAATTTAAATCATTCTGTCTATGAATAAAAGCCATATTTTAGTTAATATAATAGTACATTTTTCGTTCATCGCACAGGCTCAATCAGTGATCCGATAAGTAATCTAAAAACAGATTTGAATTTGTCATAAAGTTTACTTTAGATCGGTCTACGTTCTTTTTTGATATCTTATTCTTTATCACTGGTTCGGCCTGTGCGATGGACCAAAAATGATTTGTTTTGGCTGAAAAAACGGTCGGTATCCAGGGGCCTTAAGGACGTCGTACCGCTATTTATTAAGGAGATGGGTATAGGCAATTTTTAGCGAAATCTCAATTTAAAACTTTAATTGAGGCGTATAGTTTCAAAACCAGCCAAAAGCACATTTTTTGAAAATTGGGTTTTTTGTTTTTTGTAAATGGTCACACTGTATTACAAGTCCTGTAAAAATATTGAACATCAAATAGAGCTATAACTGGTTTAAACTAGAGCTTCTTATTTCACGTGTACACGAAAATACGTGTATTCGAACTTTTGAATAGTTCGTGTATTCGTGTTTTCGTGTATTCGTGTATATGTACATTCGTGTTTTCGTATATTCGTGTTTTCGTGTATTCGTGTATTTGTACATTCGTATATTCGTGTTTTCGTATATTAGTGTGTTAGTATATTCGTGTAATTGTATATTTGTAACTTAATCGCCATTTACTTATTATTGTTTTATAAATTCCGAGTACACTTATTTAATATAGAATTGATTATATATGTAGGTTGTCTTTGATTTAGCCTTATTAAATACATATGTATTATGTATATATTTTTTTTATAATTTACAGGGTCTTATTTTTTAACTAATTTTTTTGAATAAAGTGTGAGTCTATAAAAATTAAACTGTAAATAATATTTATATTATATAACATAATTTAATCATTCAATATCATTTTAATTTCAGTAAAAAAACCTGAGTAAATAATTACAAAATTCCAGCTTTTATGTCATATATAATATAATGTTTATCATAAATAACAAATTATATAATTTTGATTATACTTCATTAATAACAAATATGAACTTAATAAACAATAACGTTACCTACAAAAAATCATAGAAAAAAAAATACAAATATAATTTTCACTACTAAATAAACAATTTATAATATAATAAATGTGACAAGAATAACTCAAAATATCAATAAGTGATATAATTAAGATTTGAATCTACAATTATCGTCTTAATCCTCTAAATAAACCAAATTCATTACAAATTTGCATTCCCTGACAGAAATATTTGAATGTAATAATGGGTGACAAAAATTATTTACACAATAAAAAAACATTTTTCCTAAAATAAAGACAAATTTATAAATTGTTATAAAATGCAAAATTCAACGATTGCAAGAAAATATGAATATAAAAACAAATTTACAAAAACTATGAAAGCTTTATTATTATTAAACATTAATGGTTACATTTATAATACATTATATTTTATTTTACATTTTATGAAGCTATCTTTGGGGGGGGGGGGATTTTGGGGGTCGAATCTCTCCCTGAATATGTTTTCTGTAAAAACAGGTTTTTTTAATCATCCTAAAAGTATAACATATATTTTTGAAGACATCTCCAATAGTTTGGTCCCTAGGTACTTACAATTTTGTTTTATCGATAACTAGTCTTAAATAATATCTTGATAATAAAAATTATTATTGATAAAAAGTGTACATGAAAGGTGCCCCTTTTGGCAATATAATTATTAACTCTGTACTCTTTTAAAAAACACCCTTAACCCCTCTAAATGAGAAGTAAATTTTAACATAGGCATTACATTTGAATTTTGCAACCCTGAAAATGTATAAGTTAATTTACTATGAAGTATTTCAAAGTAAAATTAGAAAGATATTAATTTTTACCGATTTTTTTTACTTATATTCTAGACTTGTGTGTGCTATGGCGTAACCATGTGACCAATTCACTATATTCGTACATTCGTTATTCGAATACCCGTTTTCACGAATACCCGTACATTCGTTATTCGAATACCCGTTTTCACGAAAATTCGTACGTGTTCGAATAGAACATTCGTGTATTCGTGTAACGAATACACGATTGTTCGCTTTCACGTACTTGACTGAGACCTCTAGTTTAAACTGACCATGGAAAATTGTGGTTGATTTCAAAATCACCTATCAAACGAAATTTTTATCAAAACCAGCCATATCCAAACACGTTTTTTTTCGCGGCAAAAAACAACTGATATTAATATGTATACATTCTAAACCTATGATTTCATATTTATTACAAAATCATAGAGTAAAATGTTAAGGTCTTTTTCGTTTTTTGTTGTTCCTGAACAATTTCAAAATGTGATTTTGGCTGGTTTTGAAACTATACGCCTCAATTGTAATTTGTAATTATTAGATTAGTAATAATATTTTTTTTTAGGCAGTTCATTTATTTACGGACTATCGCAGCATCTTTGTTATCGATTTTAAATATTTTTTTTTACCTAAACATAGTATTCTAACTCCAAAAACACGGCTCACTGGGTTGTTTTAGAGTAAAAACCCCAATTATAAATGTTGTAGGTTAGAACTTTTTATATGTTTTGTTGGAAATCAATTTTCGATAGTTGGTTTAGATATGAAACAATATGGCATAAAGAAAGGGCATATTTTCAATTATTCAAATGTATATATCTTAAAAATTAAAAACAGTATGTTAATGTTAAAAAAACCAAGCATACTTAGTATAAGCCAGTACAGTGGAAATTAGCAAAGTTGAGTCGAAGCAATTATTAAATCTAAATGTGATTTTATGACAATCAAACGCTTCGATGCGAATCTGGAAATAGTAAGAATCGTACTGAATTCTTAGGAACAAACCAACACAGTTTAACCCAGCATAGTTAAAACCAAGCCAATCCAAACCAGAACAGTAAGAAATTACTAAAGTGGGTTCCAATCTCCACAGATTCGCATCAAAGCGTTTTCTTGAAAGTGATTTTTTAAAAACTTTGCAACTATTAACCACTCTTATTTTAGTTAACTATACTTTGCTTTTTTTGTTATATTAAACTATAGTCTAGACGGCTGTCATAAGGTGTACAGCTGTGAACGAATCTATTTTTATCGTAGGTAACGACTGCTAGCTTACACTGTACTGATTTAGACCGCGTTGGTTTTTTTTTTCGGCTAATTTCTCAGAGGTTGTTCTTTTATTCTTATATCTATATCTTTTTTATACTTTTGTTTTTTTCCACTGAGAAAATGACCGCCGTTTTTTCGTTTACACAATAGCTTTCCATTCTAACATAGATTAAATACATGTATTTAATCTATGATTCTGATTTCATATTTTATTCTGTGGTATGGGATTAAAACCTATGTGTTTTTAGAGGATACACATAAAAGAAAATTAATCTAGTCCCGGATTGCTTTTTATTATCTATAAAAATCTCCAGTCACATGGTTTGGTCGCGATGAACTCCGAAACTACTAAACTGATCTTGATGACATTTTTTACACTGTGTAATTTGGTCCAACTTGAAGTATAGGATAGGTTAGATAGGAAAAATTGGAAAATTTTAAATTTAGTGAAAGTTTATTCCTACGTGTACATTTGGACGGTTGACAGATGATCATATTTATTCGTAGTTTCTGACCAAAAAGACACGGTTTCACATATAAACTAATAATTTGTATAATTTGTGAGTTAACCCATGCGAAGTCGGATACACGTGCAGCTAGTTGTATATGTAATTATTGTATTATCACTTATCCTATAGATAAGCGATGACCGGTTCGTTTTGTACCTAGTGTCACATTCAGTTATCATATTGACGTCATCACCATTAGTAGTTAATAGTAATGTTGTCATGCCACATAATTATTTTAAGTCTTAATCAAACGTGTTAAATAATATATTAATTACTAGTTATTTATTTATACAAATTCCTATATAAATACCGATATCCAAACATAAAAAAAAACTTACATAACATCTTTGTCTATACACGAATGACGTATTACAGAATGACACTCAGCCCAAAAACATATCCATGTTAATAAATCTAGTCCTGGGTTACCCTTTATTATTGTAAATAATAACGACAGTGTTATTGTTATCGCGTAGTTTATCGACGACGGTAATATTGTTAATGGAAAATCAATGAGTGCTTCTTGTGATGGACGACCGTCGGCCTAAAGACAAACCGTTATCTAGGGTTATTACTGTTCTAGAACTTTCGATTTCATCGATAAAACCGTAGTGCCGACCGTCCACACACCAACAACTTTTGGCAAAACCAGTTCACCGCCGGCCGTATTCTCGATCGTTTCTATATTATTAAAACTTACTTTTGTGTGAATTTTACTTGGTACTATCATTGTCGTTATTTTTATTGAGTTTTTTAGCATCGTTACTTGTATTATAATTGTGTATTATTTTACTACCATTTTTATTAATAATTATCATTCCATAGAATACAAAATTATCTTTGATTAGTTTATTTTTATTAGCTAGTTTATCGATTATTATTACTAAATAAAATCACCCATATTATATTGTGCACTGGACGTTTTGGGAAAACGCGTATCGCCATTGCCCAACGATAGAGATCAGTGTGTTAGCTCCTTTGGTAGGTTTAACTAGATTTAATAACATAAATAATAGCCTACTAATATACATTTATAATATATTATTTATGCGGCCGCGACAAACGCCGGACACAACGTACAACAGCAGTCGTTATTCTTTTCACGTCGACGTTATACCTAGTTTTGCAACATGCGTTTTACCGTAGCTTTTGGCTTGTTGTTGACGGTATGCGGGTTTGGCAGCGGGGCCGTGATCACGGAAACGGATTGCCCGTACCTGGTGCTTGTCGAGGAGTCCAAAGTCATCGGAAGTCTGAGAAAAGTCAGCGCGCTCAAGAAGGCGGCCAGCCGAACCGTACGTGCCGCCATCGACGCTGCGCACTTGGACCACGCCAAAGCGGTGGCCGAACACCGCGGAATGCCGGCGGCCAACAAGACACAGCCGCGGATCGACGCCTTCATCACCACACAGTCGCGAACCAGCCCCGGCAACCTGACCGCCGTCGCCAACGTTCAGTACATATGCGACGACGGATTGCCGGCCAGGCGGGTCCAGCAGTTCCTCCACTGTTGCAGCGGCGCCTTCGACGAAAAAACCAAAAAGTGCGATAGCGTTTGTAGGTCCGCGCCCCAAAAGAGCAGAGCACGAAGATCAGTCTCGCCCAGTAAAGGTTTCTGTGGCACGCTCAAGGAAATCGGCAAATGGATTTTCTACTGGTTAGGTTATACGTACGAGTTTACTAATATTGTGTAGATCATATTCGGATTTTTCTTCGCCATGAATACATCCAAGTGTGATCGTGCCGAAATCGACCGTTTTTTATTTTATTTTGTAAACAATTCATAATTAAAACGATTCCAGATTTGTGTGCAACCGCAAAGACCGGGTTTTATCCATCAACCAACCTAACCATATCTGGTTTACAAAGTCATCCAGTAAATTTTAATTCCTCTTCCTAGGGGTTTTCCAATATAACCTTAGATTATTTTGGTACAACATTTTTCTACAAAAATCATTATATATTACGTGTCGCTTACATACATGTATAAAGTTTAATTTTTTTTATTATTAAGAATATTATACTTATTACGAATATAATATTGTATTGTATATTGTATATTGTTTTTTTTTAAATATATTGTTGTAAGGTTATAAAAATAGTGTTATTTTTTCTTTTGTCATTTGTAATAATCATTTTTGTATTTGAAGTCGTTTTCAAATTTATTTTGTGTCGCTAACTATTTGCTAACGATAAGCATTTTGTGTCAGTTTCGCTTTTGTTTAGCAATAGTTATGCTATACTGTGGTTATTATGTAAATAGTCAGAATAATCAGTTAAGTTTCCCTTCCACGGCGATAATGCATGTTTACCAGAAGCAAAGCGATTACTAGCTAGTAGCTGACAAGAATCCTAGCTACAAAAATAGAGTAATTACTATACACCGTAAAGCTGGTTGAATCATGTGCTTAAAACTGCAGAACAACGCATATTTTTAATGACTAATAGCCATTTGCACCAACTAGCAGCTTACATTGCTTACAACATACTTACAAGGGATTTCTTACTTAAGTTTGAAGTAAGTTTAAACTATAATTTCAGTATTGCTTAACTACCTTTAAATGTTAAGTATAGTTGGTGCAAATGGTCTTAGTGAGGGTACAAAATAATACAATGTTAAAAAAAAACACGCTTTTATAAAGATTTTACTAAAAAAGAAAAAAAAACACAATATTACTAGCAATCACATTTGCTGTGGATAAAATTATTACTTTAATTCACCCTTCCCCCAATCATAATTTTTAATCTTTACTAACTTTAAAATTATTTGAACTGATTATCAACCAGTCGAAATTTTCAAAAAAATATTTAAAAAAGTTGAATTAATGTAGACGTTCCTATTTATGTTTTACAAGTTGATAGCGCTCTTGAAAATACAACAAATAATAAATATTTGGTAATGTTAAAATAAAGTAAGTTAATTTGTTATCATAAATAACAAATTTTCAAAAAGAAAACTGACAAAACTGTAATTGAAGGAAAATGTTACTCAAAATAAACTTCGGTATTTTCAAAAAGATATACTTAGTAAATAGTAATAAACATTTAAAAATTAAAATTATAAATAGATAAAAATTACACTAGTTCTATATTTACTAGAATGTTGTCACTAATGATTAATGCCGTCAAATGACATGTTTTATATTATATTATAATTATAATCCCTTAAGATTAATTTTGATATCTCCATTATATCATCCAAAATCTAAGAGTTACGTAGTCAAAAGTGTAGCACAAAATGTGTTCTCGACATGAATCAATCGGGCAAAACAAGGAAACTGATCCCTTAGTGACAGTATTAATAGTAAGGCAAAGCTGAGAAAGCTTTTTAATTTCATTAACTATATAGTTAAGATACTAGTTATTTATTAAGCAAATTAACGGTGAAATTGAACAACAATATTAGTTGGACACATAAGAGTGTAACAAACATTTCAGTAATGACGTTACTTTTGATTTCTTAAGTAACTATAATATGTTATTTCGACTTACGTGATCATTTTTAACAAATAAATATTTCCTTAAAAAAAATGTTCTATTTAGATTTCATAACACACATAAATGTTTTTCTAAAATCGGCTTTGGCCTTTAGGGATTGTATTTGGGGACTATACATGTTCTAATACAAAAAAAAACGGTAGGTACATAAAATAGGTTATGTTCTGCTTTCTGAGGTTATGATTTTTATAATAGTCCCGGATTGCCCTTTATTATTGTATATAATTGTAGTTTTTGTATACCAATCATCCTATAGATAAGCGCTGACCGGTTCGTTTTGTACCTCGTGTCACTTTAGTTATCATATTGACGTCATCGCCGTTATTACTAATGTTGTCATGCCACATAATTATTCTAAATCTTAATAAAGCGTGATAGTATTATATTAATTACTGGTTATTTATATTTATATAAATTCCCATATAATTACCGATGTCCAAACATAATAATAATAACGACAGTGTCATTGTTATCGCGTAGTTTATCGTTATTTTTATTATCGTTGTGTATTATTTTACTAACATTATAATATTTGCTTATACACATTATATAAATATTTGTCGGACAAACGCCGGACACAACGTACACAGCAGTCGTTATTCTTTTCACGTCGACGTTATATACCTAGTTTTGCTACATGCGTTTCACCGTAGCTTTTTGCTTGTTGTTGGCGATCTGCGGCTTCGGCAGCGGGGCCGTGGTCACGAAAACCGATTGCCCGTACCTGGTGCTGGACGATGAGTCCAAAATCATCGTGGCCGAACACCCCGGAATGCCGGCGGCCAACAAGACACAGCCGCGGATCGACGCCTTCATCACCACACAGTCGCGAACCAGCCCCGGCAACCTGACCGCCGTCGCCAACGTTCAGTACAAATGCGCCGACGGATTGCCGGCCAAGCGGGTCCAGCAGTTCCGCCACTGTTGCAGCGGCGCCTTCGACGAAAAAACCAAAAAGTGCGATAGCGTTTGCAGGTCCGCGCCCCATAAGAGCAGAGTACGAAGATCAGATGATCCATGTCCGTTCAAGTGCAAGCTCATGTCAGCCGGCTTGTTTCTTTTTGAATTGATATTAAACATATTTCCCACTGTTTGGTAGATCGTAATCGGATTTTTCTTTGTCATGAACAACATCCAAGTGTGATCGTGCTGAGGTCGACCATTTTTTTTATTTTGTAAACAATTCATAATTAAAACGATTCCAGATTTGTGTGCAACCGCAAAGACATCGGTTTTACCGGGTCTTATCCACATCTGGTTTACAAAGCCATTCAATAAATTTGACTTCCTTATCTTAGCGATTTTTCAATATAATCTTAGATTATTTTAGTACAACATTTTTCTACAAAAATCATTATATATTATGTGTCACATGTATTATGTTAAATTTGTTTTTATTAATAAGAATATTTAGTAACAATATAATATTGTGTTGTGTTTTGATTATGTTTTTTTTTTTTTATAAATATATATATATTGTTTAGGCGTTCCAGTACCATATGCCTCCGCTTGGTCACCAAAGCCCCGTGGTACGTCACAAACAACTCCCTACATAAAGACTTCAAAATCACATCAGTTAAATAGACCGCATCTATATATTTTAATCTAAGACTACCCTCCAAAATGCAATGCCATTCAAACCGACTTGTCACCCAGCTGCGCTCAAAAACACTTCCGGGCAATCCAAACAGACGCCTCAAACGTAATTGGTCAAGAGACTTATTTAATGTAAATTAACTAAATTTAAACTCTTATGTACAGATGGCTCTAAAATAAGCCTCCTCCTAACCGCCCTGTCATTGTTTCTTCCAGCAAATTTACTTATTGTACATAATATGGTATAGGTTGTAAATATTATAATAAACGTTAATAAAAATAAAAATAAAGTATATTGTAGCAAGGTTATAAAAATAGTGTTAGTTTCGCTTTTGTTCAGTAATAGTTGATATACTATACTGTTGTTATTATGTAAATAGTCAGAACAATCAGTTAAGTTTCCCCCTTCCACGGCAATAGTGCATGTTAGGCACTTTGGTAACAAGTATACTGTCAAAAGGTCTGTTCAATATAGACTTAGCTCGAGAAGAAGATATTATGCAAGAAAGTCTTTAATAGTTAAACTCTATCATTGATTGTAAAATTATATGTGGTTTGTTTTAAGGTCTATGAACACGACAAATTGTTTTTTTACTGGATGAGTTTCATAATAGAATTTACCAGAAGCAAAGCGATTAATAGCTGATAATAATGCTAGCTACAAAAATTGAGTGATACGCCGTAATGCTGGTTGACTCACGCGCCTTAAACTGCAGAACAAGTTGTTGAACAACACATATTTTAGGTGACTAATAGCCGTTTGTAACAAACAGCAACTATACTTAAATTTTAAATTTAGTTGATGCAAATGGTTATAAGTGAGGCTACAAGATTACATCTTGGTGACGAAGACTTAAAATTATAAAATAATACAATGTTTGTGCCTAACAATGGCCTACCTAGTGGTCTTTTCCCTATCAGATCCTTATCAATTACTGCTTTTATTATTGCATCCTTTTTTCTCCAGGCGTGACCGGCCCACATTAACCTTCTTTTTGCGACTTCCCTTGATATGCACGGTTTTTGCTACATGTTTTGAAGCTTCTCAGTGTTTCGTAATCTCTATTCTCCAGTTCGTGGGTCAAGATATGGGCCATAGATTAGATTTAGAAACAAAATAAATGATATATTTAATAACTAATAATTAAACTGTTAAACAATGGAGGTCCTGTTAATGATAAATGCTGCAATAAGGTAGCTTGATGTCGAAGGCAAAGAAGTATTAACAGTAAAAGTTTAAAATATACACCTAGATCGTTTTCAAATATTTGGTCTTATATATTTTACATTGGGTTATGTTCTAAATTTTGGGGAGTTGACGTGCGGTTTTCAATAGTTGGCTGAGAATGGTGATGCCAATGTTTTAAAAATAAGTGCACGTGAGATAATTATTAGTTAAGTCCTGCAATCGGTATCCTAAACGGCCTGGGTGTGGTTTTGTTATTGTTTGCAGACGTCCCTAGAATCGGAGCACTTACAAAAAAGCAACAGCTGCCGCCCAACATGTCGAACGAAAAAAACAAAGGAAAAATGATTACTGACTAATTATTATACGGTATCTGATTTTGCAGCTGCAAACATGATGACTAACAACAAGCCAATATTTTTTTATCACAGACATATTGGTTTAGATTTTAATAAAAAAAAACAATACTGGCACGTAACCAAGGTTATACCACGGTTATATAAGTGCTTAAAATACTAAATAAAAACATATTAAGTTGATCCGTACTTTTTACCTAAAGTTACTGATCTCGATCGTTGGCCACAATTAGAATAATTGTTATGTTTTTATCACTATTGTCCTTAGCTATTCTAAAAAATCACATCTGTGCAACCATGGTTTAAAAAATATATTTACCTATACATAGGAATTAGAATCCTAGACACATTTATTTTGTCGAAAAAAATAAACAAATTTAAGAAATGTCGGCTCAATAGCATACAAATTATAGATGTTATCACTATTTTTGCTGTTATAAGACGAATTTATCTTATACATTTTGACTCTGATAGACAATTTTTTTTTGGGATATGTTAGCATGGAAACCGATAGTCCGATAATAGTAAATAAATGAGATAATACTGAAATTAAAAAAAAAACACTAAATTATTGGGAAAGTTAATGGATTAATAATTTGGCAGTAGTTTTTTTTACTTATCTGAGCGCACGGCAGTGCGCCAGGCCAAGTTCCAGCAATGCCAGTGTATCCTCTTAAGATAAGCTTATGAAATTTTTAACATTGATTAAGCTCGAGTAGCTTAGGATACTGTAAAAATTTGAGTCCTTCGTAAAAGCCTTTTCAAAAGGGGAGAATTTCAAAATTTTCATTTTTGTTACTGACTCACTCACTCACTCATCATCAAAATTATAAAACACTTCCTGTATGGGTAGAAACGTAAAATTTGGCACAAAGACAGGTCTTATAGTGTAACTAAAAGGAAAAATCTGAAAGTTGTAATTTTCTAACAATTAATGCTGTTTTAGGGAGTGTAGTTCTAAATGTATGGTGTGACGCGCATGAATATTACTTGATTAGATTAGCACGGGTTTTTATTAATTAACCACAGACTTCTGCGTCATTGAAACACGCGTTCTCATTTAGATTGACAATATGGCAATTAGCAATTGTTTGTAATTGCCAGTAAATTCATATCAAACATTATGTTTTCGTAATTTTATTTAATTTATCGGTCAACAATTACAGAATATTTTAATAAACGTAATAATATTATTATTTAATTAAGTCTATATACTCTATACCCGTATTATTCTTTGTTGGAGAATTCGCTTGTTCATTCTAAGTTTAAAAAAATAGCAAGTGGCGCTTTTCTAAGACAAATTTGTCATGCAAAATATTCGAGGCAGCCGCGTGAATCAACCCGATAGTCCGATAACAATAGATAAATGAGATAATACTGAAATTAAAAAAAAAAAACGCTAAATTATTGGGAAAGTTAATCAATTAATAATTTGGCAGAATTTTTTTACTTGTTTATTTTTAACCACAAGACATATTACTCAGGTTTTTCACAGATAGGTCGCCACCATTTGTCTACCTATTTTATATACCTCCATGTTTCTATAAAATTTACACATTTTGTATTCAACACTTTACAACTAAATCCTTAAGCACTTACCTCTCTTACTTGTTTAATTAATCCATTTCTCCTCTTACTAAAAACCGTTTCAATTTATGCTCTTTTATTTTGCCTACTATTATTTAAAAATCTTCCAAACTATGTGCCATGTGTACATATTCTATAAAGTTTTTTATTATTGGTGATAATCTACGACCGGCATTAACCATTTAAATAAAGTCTTACCCTATTATCGGACCAAGACTCCACCAGCAAAGAATGAAACAAGCACGTACCAACACTCACAAACTATGATAAATTATAACTTTTTTCTTTTGTCACTAAAGTCTATACTTTGGTATCTCAATTCTCATATTTCACCAAACTAATCATTGTTGTTTTTTCTTTCTGCACCTTGTATACATCATAATATACCCATCATACTTATAAAAAACATTTGTATGTTGAAAAAATTAGACTTCTAATAAATAAAAAAAATAATAGTGTTTTAAATGTTTTATACAAACTTTAGATAATCGTTCTTGAGAAAATAATATAACACTATAGACAAACGCCGGCCAGGTTAAAAAAAGATATGTTTTATTTTAACAGCATTTATTGGTATTGTATAACGTTGACAGCGTTTCAAGGGTAGAATTTAGCGGTTCAACACCCCCGGGACGTCTCGAATATTATATTATATTACACCCCTACGCGGGCGGTCACACCGTTTCTGGCGACAATTTGATTAGAAAGTAAAAAAAAATAAATAAATGAACAAGCCCAACGGTATAATCTCGGAGAAGCGGAAGTTTGTGCCGTCGACCGTAACTCGATTAGTGTAGGACAACGGTAGCGCCTCCTGGGTTTTTTAAATTGACACAATTGAAAATAATGGACGGAATGAAAACGAGCACACCCCTGACCATCAAATCGGTAACAGACACCCGCGGGCCCAGCACAGCGATGGTATCGATCAGCTATGGTCATAGTATAATATAGGGTGATCATTTTATCGTCAACCACTCAATATCTCATAGAGTTTAAGAAGAAATTTCATTTTTTTCTTCATAGTCTTTTCATACAATGTGATCTCAATTGTACAATTTACAATTTATTTTGTTTTTACCTCCTGCCAAACTGATCATTTTTACATCAACTTTTAAAACATAAACGGTAACATATATATTTTATTAACTTTATAAATTAAGAGTATTTTACTAAACATTTTGATTGGTTGTTAACCAGTTTTGAACGACAATTTTTTAAATTATGAGAGTTTAAAAGTTAGGACGGGAGGGGAAGTGCACGCATATACAAACGCAATACCACACTCCACCTTTCCTCCTGCCCTAAGTTTGAAACTTAAAAATCTTCAAAAATAGTTATCCAAAACTGGTTATCGACCAGTCAAAACATTATTATTTCAAAACAGAGATCATTAAAACCCTATGTAGTAAATTATTATAGCAATTCTGTTCAACCAAAATAATCACATTACCTAATGCATAAAATTATAAAATATTATTATAAAATTATAATAATAATTATACGTATAATTATTTTTAATTTTCATTGTTAGCTATACTTGACCCATGTTTTGACAATGTAGTCGAACAGTATCTACCACTTTTTTTTCATTTCATTTAAAACTGGCAAATGCACAAGATTAAAATTAATTGTCATTCCTTTCTGTAATTGAGATAATATGACATAAAACTATACTATAGCGTTTGCTAACCAAATTGAATAATATTAAGATAAAT